CCCTTCACTGACCTTTCCACATCATGCATTTTACTCTCCAGGCCCTAGAAAAATCTAGTGCACTTTTTGGTCATGAGTGAGCTTGTTGTGTGTGGGAGGAGTTACCTGTTGAAGCCAGTTTCTGTCACATTCAAGAGTGTCAACCAGGAACTATTTACCAGGCAGTCCCCTGCCAAAGTTTACTGCAGACTGTTTACAGATAGCCATCTTTATCTTGTAATCAAATAGGGGCAACTGACCTCAGACTGAGGCCTAGTGCCCCATCCTCTTCTTCCAGCCTGTCTTGGGAGTTGGTTTTCCTAATTTCATAGTCTTTTCTTCTTTGACATAAAATCATTTCTGTTCCCTGAACATTTTTTTACTCATTTAACTCATAATGCTATGGTGCATATTAGTAAAGTTCAATAACATTTTTTGTTTGTTTTGAGAAGAGAGGAGTGACTGGGTAGATTACAATCCCAAAGATCTTTTTAAAAACCAAATAAGTCCCAATTTACAGATGTTGTTCTTATTCCCATTCATTTTGTAATAAAGCAAAGTACGTGCATGGAACACCACTCGCCCTCCTGGAGAATATCCTGGTTTGGCGCACCTAGGGAACATGAAGTCATTGTCAGGTGCTGAATTCACACTGGCTCACCTGTGACTCTTTCAAGTATTTTAGCTCTGATTACAAATAGACTAACAATTTCCTTTGAAAAAACAAAGTTTTTCTTATTTATAACAAGTCTCTGGGAATTATGAATCTAATAGAGTTTTTTAGGGTGTGTTGTCAAAAATGAATTGTCAGAGTTTTTGTAATTGTTGACTCTAGAAATCTGCATGGACATGTGTTTTTATTAAGACAACTTCATTTATCATGCATTCATAACACATTACTGACTCTGCTGCCCCTATTAGCCGCTGGAAAAAGAAATGGAAAGTTGTACTGAAAATGTGTCGATATATATTCATTTAGCTTGGTTAATTAACTGCTGAAATTATGTCCCACTTCTTAATGGTTGCTTTACTCGATGGATCAGGCAGATACCCTGGACAAGGTGACAGCTCCAAAAGGCACGTGGCTTCTGATAGTGTTTGTCCAATACATGACGGGGAAAAGCAGGTTGGAATGTTCTACCTGCCAACAAACTCGGTGCTGCCAAGCCGCAGGCAGTAGTTGACTGACAGCTCATTTCAGCTGAGGCTTCTTGCATAATGATCATACCGTTGTGTATCTTTGATACTGCTGTTACATGCAGACTCACTGGCGATACAGTCCATGGGACTGCGGTACACCTGAACGCAGGAGAGGACCCGGAGAGCCCGGGGATGGAGTGGGAGATCTCCGTCCAGGGACTGTCCAGGATGCTTCTGCCTGATCCTTTTGGGGGAGGGTGAATCGTCTGTGCTGTGCTTCTAATTCTCTTGATTGGTATTACCAAAGTTGACCTTTTGAGGCCACCTTTAGCTTGAGATTTAAGATTTCTTTTTTTTTCAGCTTTAATTGAGTTTATTGGTACATTCTAGGGATACAGTACAGTTACATTCATTGTTGGGATCTTGTACCTCCACATGACAGGTCTTGGTTCTCATTTTTTCCCCTTGTCCCTGCCCTCCCTTCACCCCCCTCCCCTCCCCATCTACAACCACTTTATTTCTTTTTAAATGGAAAACTGTTTACTTCTAGCTTTCTAAGGTTTATTGGAGTTCATTCAGAGCATCTCCATTTTTTTCTTCTCTTACCTTTCACAGTTCCCAAAGCTCATTTTATTAAGTTAAAATCACTCACCTTCCCAAGATTGCTGGCAAGAATGTTAAAGATAGATGCTGTTGTCACCAGACAGGATCCAAAGCAGCAATCCCCCAAGGAGAAGAAGGGACCTCAAGTCACCCCGCTCCAGTGGTAGGTTCTAAGTTTACTGACTGACATCATAGAATTTAATTGCATGATGTGTCAGTGAGAGGCATCAGACGATCATATTAGGCAGAATTTTAAAGTGCACACTTAGAAGGGAGTGATGGTCTCAGGGTATTTTCAAGATGGGTGATTCAGGGTGTGTGTTCTTCCCATCTGTCAGGCTCCCCATTGGGTGGGCTAGGTTAGAATGCCAACCAGTGCTGTGTTTGAAGTTGAGGGACAATACTGCCCACTTAACTGTGCTGCTTCCTTGAGCAGGGAGGTCCACAGGAGGAAGCTGCAGTTTTCATTTACAAATGAAAGGCATGGGCCCCATGTGCAGACTTGCTCTATCTTAAGACCTTTAGGCATTGTTTTGGAGTGAGTTTCCTGAAAGGGAAAAAGGCATTGTCATCTTGGACATTCTGTGTCTTTTCTTGAAAGTACAGTTTTTAAATTACATCTTTCCCTGTCTTCTTTCTACCTGTCTTTATTTCTTCTATCCTACATGACTTGTCACTCTGTTTAAGAGGAGAAATCGAGATATGGAGAAGTTGTGGTCTTCACTCAGTAATTGAGCAATAGGCTCAAAATTTTGCTTTTTGGATTTCTAATTAATAATTCTGCTTATAGATTCCTCACTGGGTCCCTGACTTTGGATGCCTGATAATTATGCAAGACAAATGCAAGGCGTGTGGTCCACTGCAGCTGGAAGAAAGGATGTGGACATCTGTTTCGGATGGACCAGGGGAGAGCAGAGCTTGGCCCCTGTGCCGGGCCTTCTGCAGGCCCCTCCTCCCAGCTCTTGCTCTTTCTGTCAGTCATACATGGGAGTATTTGCTGAGTCTCTGATCAGTTTTACCCTTTTCAGCCTAGTGCTGCTTTCTGAATGCAATAGGGTTATTAGGGAGGGACATTATTGCAAAGAAGACCTTCTTCGAACTTTTCAATTTGTGTACACTTTACAAGAAATAAGACCTAGGGGGTTTAAAGAATTTTCCTGGCAAGGTTGCCCCTTTCTGATCTAGTCCAAGGTGGTGCTTGGCCTGCTACATGTCTTGACACTTCATCATGCTTTGATTTTAGTGATAACTACTATTCTAGACAGTTTCAGTTGAGCACCTGTACTGTGTTGAAAGACCACATGCCTTTATTTCCACCACAGTTCCCCAAATAGATTTCCTCATCCTCAGAAGCAGCAACTCAGTGAGGTTAAGTAACTTGTCCGTGAAATTGGTAAATGAAAGATCAGTGACCTGTGCTTAGTCTTGCTACTTACTCTTCCTTTTTCACTCCTGTTCTGACAGGAATTACACCGTTTTCCCCTCTTAGAATGTCCTGGAATGTTTCCCAAGTTTGCCAATTAATAAAGAGATATTTCTTAAGAATGGCTCCTTCTAAAACTACTGGGAGCCCAGTCCGCTCCTGAATGAACTCGTTTGGGCTATAGCCTAAAAAGATGTTAAACCTTATTGAGAGTTATTGTAGGGTGTCAGAGACGGGAGCAAGCTCATTGCCATCGACCACGCTGGTGTGCCGTCCAGCCAAGGGTCCCAGTAGATACTTCTCAGCAGTGCCAGCACTGTGGCTGCTGTCAGTCACGTGCACACGGAGTGCTGAAAAGGACTCGCCCTTTGCTGGTGCTTTGTACTGCTTTCGGGATCTCTCTCATGTTCCTACTCTCCTCACTCTGGATTGTCACCTCAGAGAGACACAGTGGCTCCTGTACCCACCACACTCCCTGGCTATTCACAAGACTTTGCCATTTGATGGGAGTGAGGGGCTCAGTCTGGAATGAAGTGCTTTCGTCCTCTGTGCCTCCATAATTTTGTTGGTGACCGTGGGCTTAGCTAGGGAGTCTTCTGATTGGTGTTCTGGTCCCTTTGAAGATGGGTAGGGGAAAGCTCTCGGCCGTGTGACGATGGCATGCAGAGTGTTAGTGGAAAGACCGATATCCCAGTGTGTTCTGTTCCTAAGATTGCATTTGATCATTGTGTAAAGCCATTAGAGACAAATTCCTCAATCTTAGAACTGTCTTCTTCAATTGTAATAGTATTGCTCTTTCAGTCCACTTTCTCTTGCTGTTGGATAAATGTAGAAAGAAAGAAAGTTGATTTATCTCACAGTTTTGTAGGCCAAAAGCCTAAGGTTATGCGTCCCCTGGTGGGGCCTTCTTACTCGGATGGCATCTTGGTGTTGCTGGCAGGCTTTGGGCAAAGGCCTGAATCTGGGCCCTGACTGTGTAGACTTGCTTGCCTGCCACCTACTCCCAAGAGAATGAGACAAGCCCGGAAAGTGGGAAAATGATTTCTTAATCATTTGGCCAAATAGGAAGGGCAGCCAGCCCACCGCCTTGAGAGCACAGAGGTCCTCCAGTTTGTAGACAAGGTGGAACCACAACAGGAAAAAGCCAGGAAGTCCGCATATGCAGACAAGCCAGGTGCGGGCCTCCAGGAACGCTGAAGCATCTTTGGGGCTAAGCACGAGCACGCTGGAACCAACAGCCTGCCTTTAAAGAGAAATTCTACTTGTCACATCCACGTTAACCTCTCAGTTACACCGGCCAGGATGTGTGAGAGGGCACGCAGTCGCATGGCCAGACAGGCGCTGGGCTTTACTCATCAGGCCTTGCAGGGGTGCGGCCTAGGCGAGCGCCCTGCCGCCTGGCTCTTCCGTCGCATTTCAAGCGCGCTCGGCCACCTCTTCCGTCTTTGCTGCCAGTGCCCCTCGGGTCCACACTGCCCGTCTCCTTTGCCACGCGTGCCTCGGTGACTGGCTTCCCGCCTGGCTCTGAACGCTGGGCCCCGGGGCCGAGTCTCAGTTTGGCACAGCCGCTGACGGTGTGACTTCTCCGTGGTGCCTGACATCTTCCAGCCTTAGTTTCTGCGTCTGTGACGTGGGGACGGTGGAGGAGGTAAAAGAAGTGGTGCATATTATGAGGTATAATAATATAAACGTGAATGATGGCGCTGCCTGGCGTATAACAGCCTTCGTAGTAACGTAATAGTAAACATACCATTTAGAGCGCATCACGTTCTAGTCTAAGGTCGTTACGTATTTAATGAATTTCTTCCTCTGTGTAATCCTATCAAATACTTACTATTATTATCCCAATTTGCAGATTAGAAAACTGATGCACAGAGAGGTGAAGTCATTTCCCTAAGACTACACAGCTGGTAAACGACGCAGATGAGATATAAATCACGCAAGTGAGCCGAGTATTTCAGTTAATTTTCAGCACGACCATGAGTGAGCCCAGGAATCACTCCCAGCCTGGTGCCTGAGGCCCCCCGGGCAGTCGAAGGGAGCCCTGCACCAGGACAACCCCGGGGTCCCTGCCAGTCCCCTGCGGGCTCGCGCACCAGGAGCTCGTTCCCAGACGCACGGATGCAGCATTTGCGAAACAGAGCATTCAGTTCGACCCCCGGCTGCCCAGCGGCACCTGGTGAGTAACGGGCTCCCGGTGCAGCGGCAGGAGCTGGGCGTGCCCATTTGCGCGGA